ATTTCCAGTATGTTGGGAGCTTTGGGAAAAGAGGGAAGCCTTTTTCCCTCAAACCACAGTCAGCATCTTTTTTAAAGGACACTGGTTGGCTCTTCATTCTGACGCAATCATCAGCTCCGCTTTTAGCGGAGCAATCTTCAGTTCATCATTTCTTCCTCCGAAGTTGAATTATCTCTTTTATCAGGTGGATTGGCATGTTTCAGTACACTTATTTTCTCCATTAGACTGCTTGTTAGGAAAGTTTTAAGAGCCACACCTCTGCTTCATCATACTCTAATGAAAAGTGATCTATTAACAGATAGAAACAATACCACTTTGAGAGCAAACAGTTCCACCAGTTTAACAATCTTGAAAGAGTAAAGTCCATCACAACTAGAATTAAGTTAGGGAGTTATGAGACACTGATGTAAGATGACAAATAGCTTGATCAGCAGTACCTCTTTGTAATGCTGAGGATTCATTCATTTTCATTTAAACCATGTGCCTTACTACATTGAGAGGAATGGTGTAAAATAGCAGATTGCAAAGCAGCCTGTTGACAAATTCAAAAAGGAGAAACTGCTGAAGAACTGCTTCCACTCACTCTTGACATTGGCCCTGCTGGCTGGGCCAAGTCAGAACTGGAACTAGAGACACAGTAAATTCTTCAATATTTGCTATAGTATATATTCAACAAGAGCCAATTGGTGTGATGATTGAGACATCAGACTAGATCAGTGGTTCTCAACCTTTTTAATGCCGCGACCCCAACCGGTCGTAAGTCGAGGACTACCCAACCGGTCATAAGTCGAGGACTATCCAACCAGTTGTAAGTCGAGGACTTTCCCTGCTCTGGAGGCGTAGCTGGCAAGCGGCAGAGACGGAGCAGGCTGACCACTGGCTGGGCCACCAGCTGGCCCAGCCCAAGGGAGGTAAGGCACCCGCCAGGCCCTACGCGCACCAGCAACTCTCCCTGCGCCCGCCGGCCTCCCACCTCCCACCCCTGGCCCTCTTTTACTTACATTTTTAGTAGTTGCACAGCAGGGAGGGGTGGAAACTTCCAGACAGCTCGCCTTCGCTGCAGACAACTTGCAGCACCGTTTGCAGAATGGGACTTTTGGCGGGCTCAGCAGGGCAGAGACAGCCTGGAAAATTCCTATTGGGTTTTGAAAGCCAATAGAATAAAAGGGAGTAGCACAGCTAAGGAAAAGGGGGGAAAAATGGCAGACTGCATTGTTTCGCGACCCCCGTGAAATGGTTGTTTGACCCCAAATGGGATCGCGACCCACAGGTTGAGAACCGCTGGACTAGATACCCAGAAGCTGTAATTCTAGTCCCCACCTTAGCACAAAGCCTGCTGTGTGACTTTTGGCCAGTCACTCTATCTCAGCCCTAGGAAAGGAGGCAATGGCAAAGCCACTTCTGAAAAACCTTGCCAAGAAAATTTCAGGGACTTCTCCAGGCAGTCTCTGAGAATCAGATACAATTGAACAGAAGAGGAGGAAAAATATGTTAAATACCATTTAACAGTGCCCTATAACACATGTTCCATGATGAAATACAGGAACTGTCTTGCCCTACAGTAGTGACTAGGCTGGCTGGAGACAATGGAAATTGTAGTCCAGATATTTAGGGATCCTAAGCTGGGAAGGCTTCGTATCCTCAAGATACTGACTCTTAGGGTCTAGAAATGACTAACCAAGTAGACAATACTGCATTAAAAATAATAATAAAGTTGGAAGTCATCTAATCCAATCCCCTGTTCAGGCAGGAAACCCTATTAGCTAAAAAGAAACACAGAAACATTCTGAATAGTACTCTGAGCCTATCTTTTCTATAAACAGCACACTCAAACTACTCTAGGTTAACTTGAAGCCAGTTTAAGAAAAACCTGCCTGGAATGAGACACTTTGGCAGTACTGGTAGTTTACAAGAGATTCAGTTCAGGCTATCCCAGGGCCCCCACCCCACCTCACTCCACCCACAACTCCCCTGCTTATTCTGCACCATCCCAACTTTCTGTTCAAATTGGCAATTGCTTTCCTTTCTAGGGGCAATATAACATTAAATAAAATTAAAATGTCCTAATGCACATATATGCAAGTACAACAACCAGCTTTAAAACATACATTTTTTTTCTTGCAATTTTCCTGATTGGGTTTAGTAAAGATCTCTGCAACTCCTATTGGGAGTTGCATAGTAGTTATGATATTTGCCTAACATACAAACTGCAGGAAAAGACTATGCATACTTCCATTGGGCTTTTAAAAAAGAAAGAAAGAAAGAAAATGTCCAATCTTTTGAGACAGAAGGTCTTCACCCCATCTGCCAAACAGCCAGCTGGAACAATGATGAAATGAGGCATTGGTGAATGTCGTTTAAAAAAGCAAAACAGAATGGTATATATCTCAAGTAAAGAGAAACAATTAAAAGAAAATAATTCTGCCAGCTTTCAAAAGGAGTATGACATTTTACATACTTTGTAGGACCAATGTGCTATTATGTTTCACTCTTAACAGTGCTGTAGCAGAGATTAGAGAATTACAGGGCAGTAACCATTGACTCAAGTAGCTGCTGCAAAATTCAGTAGATAGCCTGGAAGAAAGTAAAGTACACCAGGAAAACTGTACCACAACATTTCAACTAACACAAGCTGGAAGAAACTACTGTAAACTTTGAGCAGTTGATCTTTAGTAGAGTTGGGATTTTTTAAAATACTTTGCATTGTACTGGGAAGAAGCTACATTTGGCACTATTGGACTTATTATCTAAGGAATAGGAAACAGCTGGAAGCTTTCATAGCTGGGATTTAAAAAATAATAATAACTGATAATTAAACATCTTCAGAAGTTTTATAAGGAAATCCTTCTGCTTCTAAACTGGGGAAACCAATTTGCTATCTGAGCTGCACTGATACTTCAGAAGTGTTATACTAATACCTGTTAGCCTAGCCACTAAAATCAACAAGAAAGGTCTTTGGAGCTGTAAGAAAATCATACAAAGGTTACCTAATCCCTTTTCTTACACATCTATTGAGAGGAGTGTTGCATAATTACTTTCAAAAATAAACATTACTATATATACTTGTATATAAGCCATCTGCAGATAAGCAGACCCTCAATTTTTAAAAAACAAAAATACTATGAGTAATGTGTTACCCATGAATAAGTTGATCTACACAAATATAACAAAAAGGTATTGCCATATATATTCATGGATAAGCCCATTTATGAATATGCAGAACCCAATTTTGGGGATGAATTCTCAGCTTATTTGTGATTATATATACAATATATTAAAAATAAATATGAGCCAGAAAAAAATAGTTATCTACTTTAGTTGTTAAGACCACTGTCTTGCACCAAAGCAGAGGAAGTTAAATACTATATCTGTATGGATTCCTTTTAAAAAATATGGAGACTCTTGTAAGTATTCATAAAAGACTTTCTCCATAGGTAACTGGTTGCTCTCATAATAGTTTTAAGCAATTATCCCTAATAGCAGCTTCAGTGGTCATTCATCCAGAACACCTTAATGTATAATCATAGTCTTCACTAGCTTAACTCTTAAAGGAAAACCATCTGAATTTGTACTTTTATAATAAAAATGTGCCTCTCGGCTATGCAGCACTGCAGTAAAATTAGCTTAATTGTTTTAAACTATCATGTAATAGCCAATAAAAAGTAATAAGCCAAAACAATACATTGCCCAAATTTATTGTCTTCAGAGAAGCCCCAAGCAATTGTGGCTCTTGAACCCCCATCTTCTTGTAAATAACGAGGATGTACCATAGAGTCAATTTTCCCAATCTAATAGCCTCCATATGTGGACTGATGGCCAAAGTGGCTGATAATTCTGAGAATTTTCTTTCCATATGTTCAGTTAAGTATGTTCTTCTATCTGCCCTCTCCCTACTCAGATTGCTGGTTACTTTCTGGTTTTGTTCTCATTGGATTGTCAACAGGAAAAGCAAATGCTGAAAGTAACATTGCCTTGATGTGATATGAGTTCTGCCTCTTTTCTATATGCATTGTGATGTTATACAACATACAAAACTGGCACAGCTTGCATTGCAATGGTGATACTTTCATCCATTTGCATTGTTGATCCTTTGTGTTTGGGACCTCTGCTATAAGCCAGCTCTTGAATAAGAGGTATCTACACAACTGAAATTAATTGCCCTACCTGGCAAGAAGCTGCTAGACAGTTACTGCTTTTAATTTCTTTTGATTAAAACATTCAGTGGAAGCATGCTAAATGGGTAAAATTGTTATAGATCAGCTCTTTCTCTTTGCAACACATAGAAAGATTGTGATACTCTTCTGGGGTAATTCATATAAAGATTTTTGCCCTAAAAATGATTGAATGGGTTTATTTATTTGGTTACCTTGCTGAAGATTGAGATTGTTCTGCTATGTCTCATTTGCAAAGGTATAGTAACTGAAAGCAGGAATTGGAAAGATTGAATTGCAATACTTAAAAAAGACAATATTCTGCTTTATCTCCTGAAGGAAAGAAACACCACTTATTTATGCTCCATTAACTTTTGCCTTGACTACTGCAATCTTTTTCTTCCAGATTTATTGGATTAGCTTCTTGACCTTTTCACCTCTATCTGGCACTGGTCTGTCAAAGTCATTCTCCTCTCTGCACACCCTGAATTCATTTATAATCCCTACAACAATTTCCAGTCTGCTCTTTGCCCTTCTCTTCCAACCCCTTGCCTATTTCATCACCCCACTTTTTAAAAACCTCTTTTTTTTTTTACTCTACCTTCATTTCTTCAGCACCTATTTTAAAAAATGCTTCCTTTTCTGAGAAATGTGGATAAGAAGAATTTGAGGAGACATCTTTATTTTTATTCATGATTAATGTTATGACATGTAGAGGAACTGACAAGTCTATATTTTTCCCAGCTGCCATCTGTCAGCAGCCCTATCAAATTATGACATGAATCAAATGATGTAACATGACACAATTTTTTCTGCAGAATTTATTAAGAAGATGTTGACTTGGTCCTGATGACGATACGTAGAGCATACTTGGAAACTGGAAATGGTTAGGGAGGCAAGCCATGGCTTCAGGCAATATAATGACTCACCTGGTTTTTTCAACTGGTTCTTCTTCACTTTCTGGTCCTAATATCCTTTTTCCGCATAATTCTATGAACATCATCTCCACTCATTCTGAGATGATGGAAACATAAATGCAACTTGTCCTGCAAGACCCATCAACACAACTTGGCTGCAATTCAGAACCATTCCAGGTATGAAACCATGCTGCACCATAGTTTTTTTTTAACATACAGGTAGTTCTCAACTTACAGCCATTCGTTTAGTGACTGTTTGAAGTTACAGTGGCACTGAAAAAAGTGATTTATGACCATTTTTCACAAAAGTGTTGCAGCATCTCCATGGTCAAATGATCAAAATTCAGATACTTGGCAACTGGCTCATATTTATGACAGTTACAGTATCTCGGGGTCATGTGATCATCTTTTGTGACCTCCTTACAAGCCCACAAAGTCTCTGGGGAAGCCAGATTCACTTCACAATCGTGCTCCTAACTTAACAAGTACAATGCTTCTCTTAAGAATTAGGGCAGTGATGGCGAACCTTTTAGAGACCGAATGCCCAAACTGCAACCCCAAACCCACTTATGTATTGTCGGATGCCGAGTGGGTTGGCCAATTGGGTGGGCATGTCCTGTTGGGTGGGCGTGGCTGCGGTGGTAATGGCAGACTGGGTGGGACTAAAAAGTTCAATCAATCAATTCCAACTTTGCAAGATCTTTTTTTTTCCTGCGAGAAGTTGAAATTGATTGATTGATTTATTATTATTATTTTGCACATGGCGGCGGAGGCCTAAAGTGAAAAGGTTTTATAAAACCCAGCTGAAGGCCTAGGACTGGGGCGACGGCGCGCATGCCCAGAGAGGGCTCTGCATGCCACCTGTGGCACGTGCACCATAGGTTCGCCACCACGGAATTAGGGCAAGAAAATGGGGTGGGCTTAACAACCATCTCATTTAGCAACAGAAATTTTTTGGCTCAGCTGTGGTTGTAAGTCAAGGGCTACCTGTATTGAGAATAAATGTCTTGATTTTTCAAAACAAAGTTTGTTGCTTATTTTTATATTAGATGCAATCAGTTTGTGCCTTGTGCCATGTTTCTGACAATCCTAGGTTGAAATTAAGGACAACTGTAGAGTCATTCTTCTTAGAATGTTCTGTCAGAATATATGTGGGGAAATGGATGCTGCCTTTGGGAAAGTGAGAGAGGTTATCGGTTGCTCTGGTGTCATAGAAAGGTTTCTGGTCTAAATGTCCATACATTTTTCACCGTTCAGTTGGAACTCTGGTCTCAATTTCAGGTGCTAATATGTCTGCACCAAAAGATAAAATTACTAGTGCCAAACATCTTGATTCACTGGAATGTGTCAAATCCATGCAGTTCATGACACAACCTAAAGAATACAAAACAGTCTTGTCATATCTTGGGATCAGATGTCCTTCCTTAGTGATTTAAACTAGCTCTCTCTTTGGATTGGCAATTTATATCACTATATCAGCATATGCACAGGAAAAAGAGGAAATGTTTTCTTTACTTGCTAAACAGTAAATATTTATGTACTGTTTTCCCATTGGGAGCGATCATATTTATGACAGCATTGGGTAAAGTTTACAAAGTTTATGAAGGCATGCAAATCATATAACTTCCTCTTGAAATATGGAATTCTATCATGTTAAAAAAAGCATTAGGCATTAATTATAGAACGAATGCAATTTTTGGTGATGCTACATTTAAAGGACGTGATATGACCTTTATATCCTATTCACACAAAGTAAAAATAAATAAATCCTTGCATAACTTTGGAACAGTCACTCTTTGTCAGTCCAACCCACCTTACAGGGTTGTTATTATGGGGAAAATTATAAGGATAGCATCAGTCAGTTTGAGCCCATTTTGGACTGTCTGCCACAACTGTAACTAAAGGCTAATTTTACTCAAGAATGCATATGCTATTTTAAGCAACATAGATCTCTAATCTAGAGATAGTGTTGTAAATCAAAATACTACTGCGTGCATCCCACCAACGAAGAGCTACATGCAATGTACTAAGATACAGAATGTGCTAAATTACTGGATACGGAATAATGGATTTGACTTCATGGGCTGTAATCCATACTGTGCAAATATTTCTGTGTGCAAATTATTCTTTTAAAATTATGGTTATTTGTCTCCAGTACCCCAACTTCAAATTGTTCCACTCTTGGAAGTTTTTGAGTTGTAGCATTCTGAATATGGTTCAGCCCACATATTTCAATCCAGCAGTGCCGAACACACAAAGCCAATGGAATTTCTGGAAGAGCTCTCAAATTTCACTGATACACAGTACTGTGTCTTCAGCGCCAGTGCGGGGGCTAAGCTTTAATCTTCTTTTCAGTCAGTAAACAGAATGGTTTCATGCATGAAAATTGAGCTGATTTTAATTCTATTATTATGGAAAATTTCAGTTTCTGGCGAGCACAGCTATCAAGAATCTGTGCAATTTGTCTGGCACTAATGCACTGGTGACCACACATTGCTTCACCCTAGATTTTAAGTTTTCTATTAAATGAGCTGCTGTAACACTAATAGGTGTCTGCCTGCATGTATTCGGTATATAGACATTGTTATGAGCACAAGTATATGCAAGATGGTTATAAAGATTTATCTCAGTCTCCACATGGTTTCTCAGTTGCTCACCAGCTTCTTGGCTCTGGAGTCTGCTAACAAAACAAAGCTTTTCTTATGTTCTTAGCTGGACTGTTTTTTTATAGCAGGACAAGGACTCTTCCACCATTTTGTGGGAGGAAAGAAGTTGCCCCTTGTACTCTCCTATAGAATGGAGGTAAGCATATCTTCATCACAGTCCCTGCGTTTTAGGTGGAAATCCTATTTTTTTTTAAAAAAAATGGATACTTTCTGATACAAAATAAGAAGTTAGAGCAAATTTTTTGCTTATTAGCAATTTCCTTCTGCTTCTAGACATTATTTGAGGGTTGTAATAACTGTGTGAGGATTTGAGAAGACCTTGGAAGTCTAGACCAGGAGGTCATCTAGCCCAGGGGTAGGCAATCTTGGCTCTTTTATGACTCCCAGAATTCTGGGAGTTGAAGTCCACGAGTCATAAAAGAGCCAAGGTTGCCTATCCCTGATCTAGCCCAACAAATACAGGAATCCACTACTGTACTACTGTTACCCTGACAAATGAACAACCAGCCTTAATTTACACACTTCCAAACAAGGAAAGTCCACCACCTCCCAAGGCAGTTTGTTCCATCACAGGACAGCTTGTCAGGAATGTTTTTCCTGATGTCAAATTGAAAACTATTTTCTTTTAATTTAAATCGTTTTTTTCTTATTCAGTTCAATTTTAATTTATTAATATTTGTTATAGCCACCTACTCCATTAGACTCTAGGCAGCATACAGAAACATCCCCCCCCAAATAAAACAATAAACAGTTGAAAGACATGTAAGGAGTCATCCCACTACATTTATATTATTTCCTCATAAATTATACTAGGATTTTCTGATCTAAGAATTTAAATGTATTTCTCATAGATTATAGTTCAGTATACAATACTTCTAATTACAGCAATATAGTGATGTTTTTTCACCAGAACACAAGTCTATTGGATATTCTTTATGGTTTCCATTTTCAGCCTAATAAGATTCAGTCTTCTATAGTCAATCTTCCCAGGTTTTGTTCAACCTGTTTACTAGTTTTCTGAGGAACAACCCATCTCATGCAGTAGCCCATAATCAGATCATGATTACTATGGGCTCCTTTAGGAATGGTTATAGGGTTTTCATGCCAATGGAATGTGTAGTGGAACTGATGCCATACCCCAAAACTGTCTAGTGTTGATCTTTCCCATTCAAAAAATCCACTGGAGATGCACTTTTTAAATAGTTAAGATTTTAAATAAAGAAATCCAGGAATCACTTCCACTTTTATTTTAAATTTTTAAAAGGTTGGCATATTTATAGCAGCAACAGACTCTTTGTACAGAGTCTTTTTCCTGCATTCAGGACTTCCAGGAATGATCAAGAGATGAAGCAGTGTTATATGATTATTCCAGGAGGGTGCCAGAAAAAGAAAGATTTTAATGCTTCTGTGAACGTGCCAGTCTTTTTTTTAAGCTATACAATTCAGTCATTTAGCTTAGATATTATGTAAGAGATAACTTATTGTTTTTAAAGAAATCCAGAGGAAACAATGCCCCAAAATTGCCAAAACAGACATATTCCTCATTGGCCTCTGCCTCTGTAATGGGAATAAATTTACCCTATTTCAGACAGACAGATTTTGTGAAATGGGAACCTTTACAAATATTGGAGGGAGTATTCATTCTGCCTCTTTCCACCCAGGCAGAGAGAACAGTGTCATGTAATATGTGCAGAAGGAAGAGATTTATCAGGCGTTCTCCCAGCACAAATAATAGATGGCATGCATTACAGATGTTGGTATAATTGGTGGCACATCATAAATACTGTCACTATTCTCATTTTTCCTGCAGTTCTGGGGAGGATGCCAGGACCTATGACTGGATAAATATTCTTCTGTGATTAGAAGGTGGACCCATCAATCATTCAGTTCCACTGTATCTACTTTCTGCTCATCCTGCTTTTTATAGATAAACTAAAACAACATAGCTATTTTATGGGTGTTGTGTCCTTCTTTCTTTCTATAGGGCTATAAAGCTCTAAATCACATACAGGAGTAAATTTCCCAATTCAGACTTGAATGACTTCATAGGGTTCCACTTTTTTCATTTGGCCCTGGGTTTAGTGCAAAACTGTTATTTGATGGGGAAATCCAATAGGTAACTTTTTTACAGACTTAAGAATAGCAAACCTACTAACAAGTTATTTCTTAGTAATAAAGAAGAAGTGATAGAGAGAGTTGAAGTTGCTGGGTGAAAGTGACCATGTCATACTGGAATTTAATATAATGCTAACACTAGCAATAGAAAACAATCCAACCAGTGTCTTAAACTTCCAAAGAGCTGACTTTAACAAACTCAGAGAGAATCAAGTAAGGATCCCATGGATGAAAATCCTAAAGGGGAAAACAACCCAAGAAGTGTGGGAAACTCTGAAAAATGTGATCACAAAAGCCCAGACTAGCACAATACCATTGAGAAAGAAAAACAAGAAATCCAAGAAGAAACCAGCATGACTACACAAAGATCTCTCTAACAAACTAAAAGACAAAAAGGACAAATACAGAAAGAGGGGCACATAACTAGGGCCCATTATCAGCGACAGCCAGAATATGCAAGATGAAGTCAGGAACACAAAGGCTCAGAATGAACAAAGACTTAAAACAGAAACCAAGGATAATAAAAAAAAAGTTTCTTCCAACATACTAACAACAAGAAAAAAGTCAAGGAAACTATAAGTCCACTAAAGAGAGAAGGAAATAACAGGCAACAGGGAGAAAGCAGAGCTGTTTAACTCATGCTTTGCATCAGTCTTCACACAAAAAGAAACTATAGCCCAACATACTAAAAAAAACCCACTGCAAAAGACAAACTAGAAACAAAAATTAAAATAAGCAAGAAAATGGTACGAGAATACCTATCTGACTTTGACGAATATAAATCACCAGGAACCGACAGATTACCTACCAGAGTTTTGAAGGAGCTGGCAGATGTTATATCAGAACCATTGCACCACATTTTTCATAAATCCTGGAGCACTAGGAAAGTACTTGAGGATTGGAAAAGGGCTGATGTGGTTCCCATCTTCAAGAAAGGGGAAAAAATGGACCCAGGAAATTACAGACTAATCAGTTTAACATCAATACCTGGGAAGATCCTAGGAAAGATAATAAAAAACAGATCTGTGAACAACTGGAAGCAAACAAAGTTGTAACTAGTCACCACCACAGGTTTGTTAAAAACAGATCATGTCAAACCAATCTTATTTCATTTGATAAAGTGACTAAACTAGTAGACCAGCAAAATGTTGTAGACGTAGTATACTTAGATTTCAGTAAGGCATTTGATAAAGTAGACCACAATCTACTACTTGGTAAGCTAGAAAAAGGTGGAATAAACAACATCACCACCATATGTAGCTGGCTGGAAAACCGTACTCAGTGAGTAGTCCTCAATGGGACTACATCCACATGGAGAGAAGTAAGCAGTGGGGTACCACAAGGTTCCATCTTAGGCCTAGTACTCTTCAACATCTTCATCAATGACTTAGATGAGCGAATTGAAGGGAGTAGTCAACACCCCAGAAGACAAACTCAGTATCCAAAAAGATCATGACAAACTTGAACAATGGGCCCTATCCAATAAAATGAGTTTCAGTGTGGAGAAAAGCAAAGTCTTACATTTAGGCAGGAAAAACCAAAGGTACAAAATATAGATTGGGAAACACCTGGCTTAAAAACAGTAAATCTGAGAGAGACCCTGGAGTCCTACTTGACGATCACTTGACTATGAGCCAGCAGTGTGCAGCAGCAGCCAAAAAAGCTAATACAACCCTGGGTTATATAAACAGAGGCATAGAATCAAGATCATTAGTACCGCTTTATAAAACCCTAGTAAGACCACACCTGGAATACTTCAGCCAATTTTGGTCACCATATCACAAAAAAGATATTGAGAGTTTGGAAAAAATTCAGAGAAGAGCAACTAAGATGATTAAAGGCCTGGAGACTAGCGGATTCATTTATGAACCAGCTAACCACAGGTTTCAACATCATCAGCAGTTCCTTCAGCAAGAAGGTCTACTTACTTTTTGAAAAGAACTTTGGGTGTAAGAGAAAGGCAGAGGAAAGAAATGGCAGATGGTTGAAAAGCTGGATCTTTTCTCTCTTCTCCATCAACATGAATTAGGCTAGGAAAAAAGTCCTTCAAATGATGAAGAATGGGAGATAAAGAGCTTTCCTCACTTAGAAACTGTCTCCTATTTATAGACAGCTCAGTGCTGTCTAACCTTACTGACAGCACTTTTCCAAATTTCATTCAGAGATATTTCATGACTCCTGTAACCTGAACTTTCTAATTGGAGATGCCAAAAACTGAACCTGGACATTCTGTGTGTGAAACCTATGCTTATCAGCTGAACTAGGTTCCCTGCCATCCCTCAATCAATGCCTCATATTTGAATGAAACAGTCTTGTGAACCAACCCACATGACTGGCTCCTGCTGCCTCTCTACTGACTCTGAAAAACAAGATTTTTGAAGTCTTGCTGATTGAAATATTTTATTTGTCTCTTTTATACAGAAATATCATAGATTTAGAACTAAGACCCTTTGTATGTAAGATGCAAGTTAAACTCCTGGGCTCAGTTTAGCAGGAGTGAATTACATACACACTGAACAGGCTTATCACAAGCTAATCTAAGTTTGTCAATTAACTTTGCTGCTATTAGTTTAACTGTAAAGCTCAAGAGTCAGATTTCCTCAGAGGTATCTTATAACCCAACTCACAACTGCCTTGACAGGCAGTATGGTCAGTGAATAGTGACAGAGAATTGAAGCTGAGCCAAGCAAACCAAGTTCCATATGTCAGGTCAGCTCTTAACTTTCTGGGTGGCCTTAGACAAACTGCTTTATTCACCCCGTTTTAAAGTAGGTATAATTACTGCCTGCCTCATAAGATAAAGATCATAAAACACTTTCTGCCTGAGTGCAAGGTAACCCTTAAACTTATAAATAGCTCTTTGTCGGTAAATTCTCCTCAGGCCTTCTAGGTTTCATCCAAAGCGAATGGTGATTTGATGTATAGCCGAACAGAGTTGTAGGTAGATGAGGGCATAACTCTTCCAAAAGCTATAGTGGGTTTCCTTTTGGTTCATATTCCAAACAAGCTATCAAGTGGGAAGACAGACAGGCTGGCCAACTGTATCTGCTCTCATGATTTAAAAAATAAAATGTTACACATACCAATAAGGAAATAAATAAGAAGAAAATGGATAAGGAAAAAAAAATCTCCACAAAACTGATGTATCTAATATATATATAGAACTGGTCTTCCATTTGTTACCTGTCACGTTACAAACCATTTCATAGGTCATTAAGTCTGCTTACCTAACCATTGGGGAAAACATACATTCAAATAGAATATTTGTAATTCAGGGTTGAACTGTGGAGTTTTTTATGTTCTCAGAGTGTGGTTGCTTGCCTGCATATATTTCATTACCCAACTAGATAGCATCATCAAGTGTTTCCTTGAACTGATGATGTTATCTAATTGTTATCTAATGAAGTGTCTGCAAGCAAATAACCAGATTCAGAGAGCACCAAGTACTCCACATATAAATTGGTATAGTTAGTCAAAGTGTTTAAATCAGGGGTGTCCAACTTGGCAACTTTAAAACTTGTGGACTTCAACTCCAGGAATTCCCAACCAGCATGGGTCAGTGAGGAATTCTGGGAGTTGATGTCCACAAATTTTAGTTGCTGAGATTGGATAGCCCTGATTTAAATAGTCCTCTCTTTGCATTTCTTAAAAATTCATTCAGATATGGAAAGTGAGGCTGATACTTTGAGCTGCTGTAGAGTGTAGATGACCTTGTAATATCTGACATAAAATTACACAGTAGTCCTGACTGTTATTGTCCTATAAGCAGCCAAATGAATGGCATATAATCATTCGCCTTCAGATAGAGAACCCTCCCGTTCCTTGTTTCTCGATTCCTTATATATGTTGAATATTTAATTTAGTATTTATATTTATATGTGGTTATTATAGGTTCATTAGCTACCTGATAATAAAGTAATAAATTTAGCACTAGGTGTAGGCCATGTCTGAATATTGAAAGGTATTTTAGCTGAGCTTTTGTCATAGCACAATTTTTGGCAGATGATTAAAATAGTAATTCCTTTTAATTGATCTAAAGTATACATTCCATACTCCAATAACTGTTTTGATATTATCCTGTTTAGATTCCCCATAACATTAATTCAGAATGATTCCAGATCAGAGTGGAACATATGAGTGGGAAACTCTATACTTTCCAAGATAGTCAGATGCTTTCCCAACTTACAAGAAATATCTCATTTTTGTCAGTTGCAAATAAGTTCATGAGGCCATTTGTTTTAGCATGAAAGCTACTTGCTGGTTATAGAAGAACATATTCATTGACCAAATTTAAGTTCTTATTACAGTGCTTAAATTCTTTCTCAACTTAACTAGTTAATGTTAGTTCTATTGGCAGAAGCACTCTCTTAACTGGCCATTGAAGTTTCTAGAATAAAAAAGTGAATTACAAACAAAGAAGGGGATTTAGAAAATAAGGAAGGAGATTTTCCTAAAATAAATTCCTTAAAACATACATTACATTTTTGAAAGTATATTTTGAGAATAGATTGTTGTACGTCATATTATGTAAGTCACCTATTGGCAAAATAATTCATTTTTAAAGTAATGGTTTTATTCCAAATATTCAGTTTAAGTAAAAAATATCTATCCATGTTTATTGCCAATAACAGTATTCTTAAATATTTAATTTTAATACTTAAATTAAAAATAAAATCAGATTAGTCATCGGAAATACATCTTTAGGTACTATACTCTCAGCCCAATATGAATTATAGCCTCCAGAGAAAAATGATTTTGTAGCCTCCAAAAGTATTATCTGAGATTAAACTAATTAATTGTACATTGAAAAGAGCTTCTAAATCAGCAATTAATT